AGAAACAAATTCAAAATTGTAAGATATGAAGTTACATTGTGAGAGATAAAGTCACAATTACAAATCACAATTGTTTGAGAAAAATTGCAACTGTGTGAAATGTAGTCTCTAAAATCTCTAGATTAACTGCCTGACTTGTTTAACCATCACATTAAGAGAGATATGCATCTGTGTGTTTGTGATTGCCATATATTGGGCTGCAGGGAACTGCTTGTGATGATCTAACTGCAATAATTTGCTCAGTTTTCTGTGTGTGTAAGAGAAGCCAGTGCGGGTCGGCTGGGTTAATAGGGACGCTGTCATACGTAACAGTACTGGACAGTGAGCAGCAGAGAAATGACAAACGCAGAGAGCAAATTAGAGTCCTTGCTGTCCCCTCTAGTTTGCTTCACACACATACATACACACATACACACACACCTGACACAGTGCAAGGTCAATGTCTTTTATTACATTCAGGCTGGCCGTGGAGCATCTAAATGTGACACTCCAGCGAGAGCGCACACACTTTGCAAATAACAGCTTAGCGTGCGGATTTGGATTAGCAGCTAGTGGCCGACATATTCATCATGTACACAACTCTAATTATGAGGGTAATTGCCTACAAGGGACTTTATTGGTCTCTTATAATGAGTCTATTGTCTACCGGTGCAGGGTATCACACAGCTCTCTATTGATCAGTCATGAATACCGCTAAAGCTCATGCAACCATTAATATGGATATTTTTCAGGGCTCTGAATGACTGGGTCAGTGCCGTCGATAGTGTCGACCATGGTACAAAGCAGAAACGAGAGCCTCTTAACTCTTTGCATGTCTTGTATTTCTCCTTTTCTCTCTCACTGGCATATTTAATTACAGGCGTTTAATTGGAGAAGTCGACTCGGTGCCGTCTATAATTATGGCTCAGTCTTTCGAGGCTTTGTCGCATCGGGCCCCTTGAGCTCATATTCTCATCGCCGTAATTCAATTAGATCCTTCACTTAGAGCACGGAAGCCTCTCAGCATTGTCACGGCACACTATACGCAGCTTTCAGAAATGCATAACTTTCATTTATTTTTTTTCTTTTAATTCTTTTAAATCATAGCATATGTCCATTGAGAAGAAATCTGTGCAGGCGGAAATGAATGCACAGCTCTATTGTGCATTTAAGACCGCACTGACCCTTGTAGCACATATACATATCCATGATGTCTATTCAGTATATGCCTTTTCATCTCAAAATGACATTTTAAAGAATGTTTGTCAGTGAGGTCCAAAACCACTTTCATTGCATAGAACATTGTTTCTTATAATTGCAACTGTCTCTCACAATTTTGACTTTCAGTTTTCCGTGATTGTGACATTCTCATAAATGTAACATCACTGTCATAATATCAATTTTTTTCTCATGATTTCAACTTTATATCTCATAATATGACTACATAACTCACAATTTTGTAATTGCGACATTTATTTATTCTAATTAAATGCAACCAACAGTCATACAGGTTTGCAACGACATGAGGATGAGTGAATGATGACTATTTTTGGGTGAACTGTTCCTTTAAGATATTTTCACTGTTGTTATTCAGTTGTTTGTACACAAATATAAAACTTCAGCTACTTAAAATGGAGCACAGTGTATTCCAGATGAGGATGTGAATATGTATGCGTGCTTGCTGGGTAATTCTGAACTGTTTTACATTCAGGTAAGGTGTGACTACATTAGCTACACCTTACCTGAACTGTTTTACATTCAGGTAAGGTGTAGCTAATGTAGTCACAATGCTTTTTGAGGGCAAATAGTCAGACCTGATTCTTCAAGAAATGAAAGATGGAGGTCTTGGCTCACGTTGATGCCCTGGAACATTTTATATCACTTCAGATGTTAAAATTCTAGTAATAGCGAAACCATTGTGATGAAAAATCTGTGGTGACGGAAAAAATTCTGTGGCGGTGTGGCTTTGATATTTAGGCCTATCATGGTGTGGTACTGAATGATAGCAATATTTGCAATATTTACATGCTACTTGTTTGCGATATTCCTTGTTTCTGAGTCACTTCAGATAAAAGCATGAGTATATGTAAATGTCCTTTAAAGAATACAATGGTTTTGCCATGGTACATGTCCAAAAACATGGTAATATCATGGTACAAGTGCAACTAGTAATTGACAGATTTTGGATTGATGAGATAAACCAGGATTGTTCTCATCTTCATTCTGTTGACTAAAGACAGATCGTCTCCCGAATGCCAGTGACGGAGTTGGTTTGTCACGCGTTGGCCTGCTTTAAAAAGATGAAGAAGAGGTGGTACAACAGAAGGGGAATGTGTGTTTGTTGGAACAAGAATGAAATCGTGTCAGTACTGTGCGTTCCCAAGACAGCATGTTCACATGAATACCATTTTAGGACGACATTGTGAGGAATATGAGCGCTTTGGATCATTGTTATGGTTATTGTTTTAATGTAATTTTATATTGAGAGTTGGGAAAGTAGGTCAGAGAACTTGATCTCATAGCATGAAACTCAGTCCACACATACATGCAGCTCTTCCCACCACATGCGAACAGTCATTTTTTAAGATCAAGTTAAAAGTTTCAGGCTTTATGAGGAATAAAGCCTGGGGTCAAATGTAGAAAAAAAAAGCTTTTCACAAAATTGGAGAGAGATTGTTTGCCCCATGCTATATGATTCTCTAGTGCCCCCTAGTGCTGTCATCTGTTTCTTTTCACCAGACAAAATGACCTGAGTTGGTCAAAATGAAGGAGAGGTGTGTTGCTGACAAAAGCAAAAATTAAAAACCTGCTTGTAAAGATCACCAATATTTATGCAGTTTCAATGCAGGGTCACGGACATAGCATTTTTTGCCTGAAACTATTATACAATCCAAAATACATTATAAAGCAATGACTTGAATACATACAGGTACATCTAAAAAAATTAGAATATCATGAAAAAGGTCAATATTTTTTGTCACTCATTTCAGAAAGTGAAACCCATATATTATATAGATTCATTAAGTGTCGATGACTGTCTTCGGGACATCTGTCAAGTCAGCAGTCTTCCCCATGAGTGTGTAGCCTACTGACCCAGACTGAGAGACCATTTAAAGGCTCAGGAAACCTTTGCAGGTGTTTTGAGGTAATTAGCTGATAAGGATGTGACACCATGACTTTCCAATATTGAACTTTTTCACAATATTCAAATTTTCTGAGACACTGAATTTTGGGTTTTCATTATCTGTAAGCCATAATCATCAAAATTTCAAGAAATAAAGGCTTGAAATATTTCACTCTATGTGTAATGAATCTATATAATATATGGGTTTCACTTTCTGAAATGAGTGACAAAAAATATTGACCTTTTTCATGATATTCAAAACATGGTTTCTGTGCCTCTCCACTCTTCCTCCAGACTCTGGGACCTTGATTTCCAAATGAAATGCAAAATTTACTTTCATCTGAAAAGAGGACTTTGGACCACTGAGCAACAGTCCAGTTCTTTTTCTCCACAGCCCAGGTAAGACGCTTCTGACGTTGTCTCTGGTTCAGGAGTGGCTTGACACGAGGAATGCGACATTTATAGCCCATGTCTAGGATTCATCTGTGCGTAGTGGCTCTTGATGCTCTGACGCCAGCCTCAGTCCACTCCTTGTGAAGCTCCCCCAAATTCTTGAATGGATTTTGCCTTACAATCCTCTCAAGGCTGCGGTTATCCCTTTCGCTGGTGCACCTTTTCCTACCACACTTTTTCCTTCCACTAAACTTTCTATGAATATGCTTGGATACAGCACTCTGTGATCAACCAGCTTCTTTAGCAATTAACTTTTGTGGCTTACCCTCCTTGTGGAGGGTGCCAATGACTGTCTTCTGGACATCTGTCAAGTCAGCAGTCTTCCCCATGATTGTGTAGCCTACTGACCCAGACTGAAAGACTATTTAAAGGCTCAGGAAACCTTTGCAGGTGTTTTGAGGTAATTAGCTGATTAGAGTGTGACACCATGACTTTCCAATATTGAACTTTTTCACAATATTCTAATTTTCTGAGACACTGAATTTTGGGTTTTCATTATCTGTAAGCCATAATCATCAAAATTTCAAGAAATAAAGGCTTGAAATATTTCACTCTATGTGTAATGAATCTATATAATATATGGGTTTCACTTTCTGAAATGAGTGACAAAAAATATTGACCTTTTTCATGATATTCTAATTTTTTGAGATGTACCTGTATATTCTACGATGAAGATTTCCAAGTTTTTATTAAATTTTATGAAATTATTTATTAAAAATTGTAATTATTAAAATTAATTTTGATTTTTTTTTTGGGTGGGTGATTTGAAATAAGGCTTAAAAAGCTGCAAGTCTTGAATTAAAAACTTTTATAATCGTTTATAATCTCTGGTATAATAGTTTAGTAATATTTTTATATTAAAAAAATAAGTAGGGAAGCAATTTTGTTTTAAAATATATTTGGAAAAACTTTGGAAAATTAAATTAAAATTAGTGGTGTACTTATGCATGCAAGAACCCATTTTGTTGTCAACTGACAATAAAATGAATGAATGAATGAATAAGAAAGATCAGATGTTGTAACCTTTAATAATAAATTTTTTTTTTTTAATTGTATTGAAAAAAAGGTTTGAAGAATAAAGAAAATGAAGAAAAAATCCCAACCAAAAAAAATTTAAATTAAAAAAGGTTGTATAGACTGGTATTCATGATTTTTTTTTAAAGACCGTATTGCCCTGATAATTTGATTACAAACAAACAAATAAATAATAAACAAAACTGATTTTGAACTTTAATATATTTAGACTATATTTAGTCTATTAATATATTAGTAATTTTTAGTTGATGGTTACACCACTTGAAGTTTTACGAGCAACATCTTTGTGTTTTTGTATTTCTTTCAACTATATATTTATTAAAATATTTGATTTGTCACTGAACCATTGCCACTGACCCCTATGTTCTGACTCTCTTTTTTTTCCTCTCTCTTTTTTCATGTGCTACAGATATGGAGATATGGTTCCTAAGACCATCATAGGGAAGGTCGTTGGCTCTGTTTGTTCTCTGAGTGGCGTGTTGGTGATCGCTCTTCCCGTCCCCGTCATTGTGTCCAATTTCAGTCGGATCTACCATCAAAGTCAGCGCGCAGAGAAGCGACGAGCCCAAAAGGTACCCTAGATGGGCCGCCCATGACCCCAGCATGGGTCCACGGCCTCTGATCTCAGAGCTATACGGAGCTGGGCTCAAATGTAGATGTTCTCTTGAAATACAAGCAGGTCTGGCTGTGGCAAAGAGATTAGACCCTGACAGGACCATGTACACACAAATACAGAAAAATGATGCTGGGATAGTATTTAATACAACTTGGCACAATGTGCTTGTGTCCCAGATGTCTGCACGCTGAGTGGTGTGTGTCTCTGTGGTATGTTAACTGCAGGTCTCTGTGGAACCATCATTTCTGATATATATATATATATATATATATATATATTTAAAAAAAGGATGAGAGCGAGTCAGAATAGAACAAAAGAGAAAATGGCCACATACACACTGTGAAGTTTTGGGTGTATTTAAAGGAATAGTTCACTCAAAAATGAAAATTACCTGAAAATTTGCTCACTCTCAGGCCATTCAAGATGTAGATGGGTTTGTTTCTTCATCGGAAAAGATTGGGAGAAATTTAGCATTACATAGCTTGCTCACTAATGGATCTTCTGCAGTGAATGGGTGCCGTCAGAATGAGAGTCCAAACAGCTGATAAAAACATCACAATAATCCTCAAGTAATTCACACAACTCCAGCCCATCAATTATTGCCTTGTAAAGTGTAATCTGTGTGTTTGTAGAAAACAAATCCATCATTAAGGCATTTTTACTTCAAACTCTTGCTTCTGGCCAAAATATCAATCCATAATCCATAGCAACACTGTCCTGAAAAAGCCCATCCGCTATTGTCCTCTCACATCAAAATCCACTGATATATTTGTTTGAACTCATTTCGGATAGTTTTCTCTTGTAAGCAGGGGTTGATCTGTGCATATTTCTCACCTGATTCAGACAAGACGGATTTTTCACTGGAGAAAGAATGTTATGGATAGAAGACTTGTATTTTAGCCAGAAGCAATGGTTTGAAGTGAAAAGCGTCTTGATGAATTTATTTCTTACAAACATGCAGCTTTTCACTTCATAAAATGTTAATTGATGGACTGGAGTTGTGTGGATTACTTGAGGATTATTGTGATGTTTTTATCAACTCTCATTCTGACGGCACCCATTCACTGCAGAGGATCCATTGGTGAACAAGTGATGTAATGTTAAATTTCTCCAAATCTGTTCTGATGAAGAAACACACTCATCTACTGTATGTCTTGGATGGCCTGAGGGATGGCTTTTTGAGTGAACTATTCCTTTAAAAGCAAATGTCCTCAAATTAATTTAATTGGGTTTGCTCTTATCGTAACTTTGATGTTTGAATAGGCAGCAAGTGGAATGCGGCTACGCTCCAATCAGTGATGATGGAATTTGCATATCCTGATGCTTAGCTTCAGGATTATTTAAAAGAAACGATTCAATTAATTCCGAAACCTCAATTAATCTGATTACTTTAGCAATTAAATTTAAATGTAAGTTTTACAGCCCATCTGCACAGCGACTGCCATTATAATCAATGAAGCTGTCCACACGCACACACTACATTTATAGTCGATGCATTAGCCTGCGGTTTAGACGTCTGAATTTATTATGGCAGGAGTGTTGTGATCTGTCATTACATCTGTCATGAGTATTCCTGCCGTAAATCATAATTCCATGTCCGTATGGAAAACAGGAGTCACTTCTGAACTTGCAGTAATTGACAGAGTGGATTAAACCTTTTCTTGTTAGTGAAGGTTAGCAACATCTGTCTGTGTTTAGTAAAGCACATTCGACTGTTTATGCTCGTAAGCCGTTTATACCAGTTTTGTACATACTATGCAATTACTTGGTCATCATCAAACTTATAAATGACGTAACTCTATGTACAGAACAAAATTGAACACTAATAAGGAGTCACGACTGTTTTTAGCTACAGTGTGTATGTGGCCAATGAGACCAGGCACAGGAAGAACAGATGTTGTGTTCTGTAGCCGGTTCTCCTCTGGGGGTGATCAGAATACGCAGACGTTGTGGCATCACATCATATCGCATTAGATGAGTGTCTTCTCTTAATTTAGCTGTTCAACTCCAGCCACCCCATGGGAGACACAAACAGTTCAGATATCCCACTCCCCCTGCGCACAAACACACACACACACACACACAGATAAACAGTTCAACCAGTCCACCCAAGAACAACAGTCTGTTTTTTCAGTTAACTAGGACTGAGAATGAGAGCAGGAGAGGGAGAAGTGAGAAAGGATATTAGGGTTATAACAATACCAAAATTTCAGTTGTCGATACCAGTACCATTTAAATGTTATGTTATTTAGGCAAAAATGTAAATATTTTTTTTAAATGTTCATATTTTAATGATTAAATTTGTATTGTTTTGTATTGATTTTAATGATTATTTATAGCCGTCTTAAAGATCTGATATTTTGACACAAATGCAGGTTTTTGGTCTGACAATTTATGTGGAGATATAAAGAGAAAAGCCTGAAAAGACTGAAAATGAAAGAATGAAAAACTTTGCCTTGAGTAATTTGACAATCTTTTAATTTTATTTTTATTATTTTATCTAATAATTAGTATGCTGTTTTATTATTTTATGGTATTATAGTAAGATATACTTCTTTTTATTTAATTTTTTTTAAGGAAAAGCCTCTTATTCTCACCAAGGCTGCATTTATTTGATCACAATACAGTAAAAATAGTAATATTGTGAAATATTATTACAATTCTAAAATAACTGTTTTCTATTAATATATTTTAAAATTTAATTTATTCCAAATCTGAATTTTCAGCATTGTTACTCCAGTATTCAGTGTCACATGATCCTTCAGAAATCATTCTAATATGCTGATTTGGTGCTCAAGAAATGTTTCTGATAATCAGTTTTGAAAACTGAAACAGAATATTTTTGTGGAAACCATGATAAATTTTTTTCAGGGTTCTTTGATGAATAGAAACTTCAAAAAAATAGCTTTTATTGGAAATAGAAATCTTTTGTAACTTTATAAATATCTTATCTGTCACTTTTGGGCAATTTAATGCATCCTTTATACATGGTGTCAAAATATCAGCTCTTTGCGATATAAACCCAGCTACATTATAGAAAGACTGGTATTGTTAAAAAAAATTTTATTGTTGTATCAAAGCCCCTTTGACATCTCTTTTAGAGAGGAACACATTGCTATTCTTCATGTCGGACATGAGCATGCAAACCTCCAGTCACACCATGATCACATTCACACTCACACTGACCACGAGAAGAGAAAGTGTTAGGCTAAACGCCCGTGTGTTTGTCCACCTGAACAGAAAACCAGGCTTGCTAGAATTCATGCGGCGAAGAGCGGTGGCGCTAACGCTTATTTGCAGTACAAACGAAATGGGATGCTGGCGGAAGCGGAGGAGGAGGTAACTGTGGACACCAAGTCGCCGGGGTCTCTCTAAATGGAACGTGACATGATGGGCTGGTGCATGTGAACCCCTCTTCCCCCATGGCGGTTCACCTCTCCGCCAGGGGGCCGGGGTCCAGCAGGGCTGCTGTCCCCATTCAACGCTTCCGTGGTGTTCCTCTAACTCTCTCTCTCTGTCTTTCGCTCTTTCTCAAACCTAGACCGGGTGCACTGGCACCTCTTCCTGGTGGCTGGTCATGAGACAATAATCGTGTGACCTCTTGTCCAATGGCAGTGTGGTGCATGCGGCTTGGCCTTGCGGGGGCCACGGCCATCCGCTCCAGTACCAACGGGGCCCCCCTGTTTTTGACTGCAACCCTTTTCTCCATCTCTCAACTACTTTGCTTTTGGGTTTATTACCTTTTGTATTTTGTCTACTTGTTGTTTTAACTGCTTTTTTCGACAACTACTACTCTTGTGTTCCATGCATTTTTTAACATGCATTTTTGAGTGATTTTCTCACGCCTGTCCGGACTGGCCTGTGCTCGCACTCTATCTCTCTGTCTTCATGACATCATCAGAACACATCACATGGAGGAATGAAACTGTCTGAGCTGCATGTCATTGTTTGGCCAACATCTAAATGGGAGGCGGGGTTTAATGTGAGGCAGAGACCACGGGGCGTGTCAATCCAGTGCCTGTTGACTATACGCGGGCTCTCGATAAATAGCGCCTTAGTCCAGGGGTGTTCCATTCTGCTCCTAAAGGGCCACTATCCTGCAAAATTGAGCTCCAATCCAATACACCTGAACCAGCTAATTAAAGGGTTAGTTCACCCAAAAATGAAAATTGTCATTAATTACTCACCCTCATGTCGTTCCAAACCCGTAAGACCTTCATTCATCTTCGGAACACAAATTAGGATATTTTTGATGAAATTTCAGATTCTGATGAAAAGATCAGATTCTGAAGTGCGTATCCAGTGGACACTGTAGTATCCCATGAGGACAGTTTTTGTCCCTTGTTGTAATTGCAAACACGTTCTGGGTTGAGGGGTGGTGTTTCCCCCCAGTTGAACTTACTTTTGTTTCGATCCTCTCTGATCAGGCCCTTGGAATTGTCCTAACCTTCCCCCTGTTATGGAGCCTCTGTTCATACTATATAGAAGAGGCATTCACAACTCTGCCCCTCGAGGTCCACTTTCCTGCAGAGTTTAGTTCCAACCTTGATCAAATTCACCCAAACAAGTCAATCAAGGTCTTCAGAATTACTAGAAAGTTACAGGCAGGTGAGTTTGATCAAGGTTGGCACTAAACTCTGCAGGAAAGTGGAAAGAACTACCTACTCAGAGAGTATATGATTTCGGAGCCAGTAATGTTCTTCAAGAATACTAGAAACTTCCAGGCAAATATGTTGGAGCTAAACTTTGCAGGACATTGGCCCTCCAGAAGCAGGATTGGGCTCTCTTGCTCTAGTCGTCTGGTCACTGCATCATGCTGATTCATTAAGGTTGGGTATGGGGGCCGTCATGGTTCAAATACAGAAGACGTGTAACTTTTCCACATACTTTTTTCCAATAATTAGTATCTCCTGAATATAAGTTCAATAGCCATTGACACACACAGAATACTCTTGTTCCTGTTGTCCGCTGTTTTTGAACCAAGAGCCATCCGCCAAGTTGTGACGTTGAGAGAACAGGATGTGGCAGTGACCTAGAGCCTACTGTTGTCACAATGAACTAGCCAAACGTTCTTCAAGATTGTCTCAATGTTGCTAGACCATTGTGAGAATTCGGGCCTTGCTGTCTTGTCTTTTCTCTCAGTTTCTTTCTGCGCCGATAGGTTGATAAGCTGTTTTTTCTGTTTCTCCAATAAGGCATCAAAACAGACCGGCCAGGCTTTGGTATGTAAGTCCAACCCCACTTTTGAGACCCAGCATCACCATCTTCTGCACTGCTTGGAGAAAACCACGGTAAGAACCTCTGGAGAAAACTTTACACATAACTGGAAGCTGTTCTCAGCAATTTAGCTTTGGCATAACTTGATATTATTGATATACTGGTGTCCTAGGAAGCATGCTAAGCACATCTGTAAAAAACATTATGAGGTTCTTCTACAATTTCTCAACTGTTTTCTTTAGTACCTTCAATAGCTACCTTCAGTAGGTTCAGCAGTTACAGATCAGGTGTCCATATCGACTGTGTTTAGACTGATAGTTCACACAAAAATGAAAATTGTGTTAGCATTTATTCAGCTGCATGTTGGATCACAAAAGGAGAAGTTTGGCAGAATGTCCCAGGTGCAAGAACTGCAGAGCTCCAAGAAAAGCACCATAAAAGTATTTAATACTTTTTAGTGCAATTTTCAAGGTTTTTCTTAAACAAAAAGGCCACGTTTTCTAAAAATAGCTTTGTGCGAGGAACAGCCTGAGTCCGTTATTAGCTGCAAAACCTGGCATGATGTGTTGGCTTATGAAATGATAACCATAACTGACATTAATTGTTTGTTTGTTTTTTGTTTTGTGTGTGTGTGTGTGTGTGTGTGTGTCATATTCGAATTAAACTTTATCTGAGAACTCTGGCAGAAGGAAAAATAAGGGTGAAAGTGGACAAAATTTGTATTTTTGTCTATACCCTTTAACATTAACCAGTACCAGACTTCTTCTGCCCGTCAGTGCTTGTGAGTTTTCCACAAATAAGTGCAGTTTTTCTCTCAAGAGAAATCATTAGTCAGGCACTGGCATGAAAATGACAGCCACTGTTGTCCCCTGCCAGCTAGACTCATGACAGTCTAGAGAACAGACTGTGACCCGCTCTGGCTTTCCTAGGGCACTTGACTCGAGACATTTGAAAGGAAAATTCCAGTGTCCTGCTGAGAACGCAGGACTCTTTGAGAAACAGCTAAAGCTACAGTGAATCTGGATTCAAGGACTCATCTGATGATTTTTTGACTGGCTTGCATTATTAAATGCCTAATATTTGTTATAGAGACAAATCGAATTGAGATTTACCATTATTTTTAATTATTAATTTGGGCAAAGCAGTAAAATAATAAATATTATATGCATACAGTGGACTTCTGAAATGTCTTTCATTATTCTGAATGAGAAATTATTTATTTCTTTAGTAATAAATTATGAAATATAATGATCATATAATGTAATAATCAAATGCAGAAATCAGACCTTAAAGTGATAAATAATTCCTGTTTCTTTCTCTCTCTCTCTTAGAATCATGAGTTTGTAGATGAGCAAACTTATGAGACAAGCTGTATGGAGGTTTCCCTAGCGAAGCCGTCCATGTCCCGTTCCTCCTCGCTGTCCTCCTCTCCACACGGCCTGTCCTCCTGCTGCACACGCAGAAACAAGCGCAAGAGCTTCAATGTCCCCAATTCATACATGGCTGACGGCCGCAGGAGCAGCATACAGGAGCTCAGCACCATCCAGATCAGAGAGAGACCAATGAGCAACAGGTGCTCTCACAGCACTCATGCACACTTACACACACATAAGGAGAAGGAATATGTTGATATATTGGCTGCGGTCTGAATATAGATGAGTCAGAGCTGTGTCTTATTTAGAAGTGTTTATAATACGGACTATATTAAGAAGGTGAGTTTTTCCAGAGGGGTTTGGAGTAGGGGTTTGTGTAGTGCTTATAATCTAGAATGTATTTGTAATATTAAGTGTATAATGCATAGTATACAATACGTAGTACAAAGAATGTAGAATGCAGATTAGAGAATAGATTTAGTATGCATATGTGGGATACATTGTGTAATGCATAATATGCAGTATGTAGTGCATGTTATTTAGGATGCAAATGTAAAAGTTAAGTATGCAGTGCATAGTATTTTGCATGCATATGTAAAATCCAGTAATTGTGTGTAGTGCATGTAATCAAGAATGCATATATAGAATATAGTGTATAATGCATACTGTGCAGCATAATGTAATTTGCACATGTATAATGAATAGTACGGAATATCTAGTGCATAATATGTAGTAAATACTGCACATTAGGCATTACACATTTTATTCTGTATAGTATGCATCATTCATAAATGCGCTAATATGCATTCTCCGTCTACATACATGTGCAAACTACATCATATGCACTACATCCTGCATTGTATGTATTATACACCATATTCTACATAGATTGCATGCACTGCACACTATGCACTACATACTATGCAGTATGTAGTACATTGTAGTTAGTATCTAAATATATGGAATATAGTGTGTAATGCATAGTGTGTAGTGTATAAAGTTTAGAATGCAGTGTATAGTGCATAATATCTAGTATATATGATGAATGCAAAGTATTAGTGAACATATGTAAAATACAATGTGCCGTGCATATAATCTAGAATGCATAAATAGAATTAAGTGTATAATGCATATGTAGTATTAGAGCATATTAGAGCAGTGTTTCCCAGCCTTTTTTCTGCCGCGGCACAGTTTTGATAGGTAAAAAATCCCACGGCACACCACTAAGCACTAAAAAAAAAAATTGGAAGGGGGAAAGTTTTTTTTCTTCCCAAATAATTAAACAATGCATCATCAGAGTTGGTATTTTGGCTTTATATATGATCAGACACTTGCACTTAACGTTTTCTGAAAATCATGCTCAAACGGAGTTAACAAGGTTTTTGACGAGCGAATGATGGAAATCTGTGTTTTGTCCATCATTAGAACGGCCACACCTGAGACAGAAAATTAATTGTTTTATCAATTTGTAAGTTATAAAGTTTATTGTATCTATATGGGAACTCAGTTTAATATATTTGGCCAAAATTTCATGATATAAAAGATAAACCGCTTTGCACAGGATATTTGAAACGTACAAAAGTGTATTGGCTAAAACTAACTTAGACGGCAAATGCTAAGACTCTTCTCTGATCTTCAAACACACAAAAACATTAGCCTTTATAGATGGTGTTTCTTGAGTAAAAAAAATGTTGCTCTTTTTCAAACATCAGTTCTTTATTTACCCTTGCATTGCGAAGAAGTAGATGCCTATATTCAAACTGCGCATCGCGGTGCTTTATTCTGAATGGAGGTGGGGTGGAGTTATGAGGTTTGGCTGACAATTTGAGGATCCAATGGCGTTACGAGGTTTAGTCACATGCTCCTTCGAATGCTTTTCATTGGTTAAATATTTGTAAAACCCACAAATAGACATGACAATGACCAATTGCACTGATTTAAAATAATAATAACGAAGTATAATAGAGATAGGAAGTTTTTGATCATTTTCCATGGCACACCCGACAACCTGTCACGGCACACTAGTGTGCTGCAGCACAGTGGTTGAGAAGCACAGAATTAATATGCATAATGTTTAGTATGCAGTGTATAGAATTTAGTATTCATAATATGTAAAATACAGTATGTGAAGCATAGAGTGTAATGCATATAGAATGCAGTGTATAGTGTAGGATGCATAATAAGTCCCGTTTAACACATAGTATGTAAAGTGTGGTGTGTTTTATGCAGGTTCTCTGTATATCTGGGTATTTGGGTTGTTCTCATAGTGATTCATGCTGCTGGAATCCTGTAAAGCTCTGGTTGTGACACTCCTCCCCTCATGCCAGCATACTCTGGGAACGCTATCATGATCCCTCCAACAGCTGGCGGAATTTGCCCATCAGCTGGATTGTATTCTCACCCGCCCTCTCTCTCCCTCTCTTTTCCAACACAGCCGCTCCTGTCTCAATGCCAAGTTTGAGGAGACAGTACACCTGAATTCGGAAGAGCAGTCCTACATCACTGCCGCTGTCATCAGCATGCCCACCCCACCCGTGACCACGCCTGAGGGCGGAGACTCGGCCAGCTCGCCCAACTTCTTGCAAAGCAACATTGTCCGGGTGTCGGCATTATAGACCGTCCGTCGTGACCATTAGCCATTTTATTTAGCGAGTGGACGCTGGAGCGGAAAGGATCGATGGAACCCCCTAGTGTAGTGGAGGAGGCATTGCAGCAGGATAGCTCTCCGACTCTGTGAGCTCCATCAGCTCCACCTCTAGGCCCATACGCCATGTGACTCACGCTGGGGTCCAATAGGCTTTCACTCAACCCATAGAGGAAAACAATGACCACTGTGGTTGTTACAGCTTCTATAATTTTTCAGTATTGTGAGTCTTTGAATCTGTTGTCTTCAATCTGATGGGATCGCCAGATTTTGGGACGAATAAGGAGTGTACCAGCAGGGGCGGGATTTTACAAACTTTTAGACAGCTATACACACACTTTTGATACTTCTTTGAGTAAAGCTGGGCTCTACTAGGGTGTGCGGTCGGATGATTTTGCGTGTGTGTGTGTGATCGAGACCGATCTCTTGCATGTTTTGCGTAAGTCTATGTCATTTTTCAATTCGGCATGAGCAATAAGGATTGGCTCTTTCTGTCAGAATGTGTGCTTTTTACTTTTGCCTAGTTATAGATCTTTCCAACCCAACAAGTGTGTGAAAACAGCTGTTCTGAGAGACTGACCTGTTGATACAGGTGATAAATGGAGAAAATCCTGTCTCACACTTTCTCTGTCCCACCCATGTTGCGGTCACTCCTTGCCTGGCCTGATGAGATGTTTGTTATCCTTTTTGTTTTTTTGGTGGCAAAAAGCTAAACGGAAAAGGAAACGCCTTTTGTGTTTTAATATATTTGACTTTCTCAATCTGACAGTGGAGGCTTGTGGACTTGAGCTCTAATACTAGCCATTCCGTTTTATACTCCAAAGTTTGCGAGTTAACTGTGAAAAGAAAAATAACGTGCTTATTTATTATCTTCGTTAAAATTATTGTGCATGTTGTCGTACACATGGTGAAACGGGCCAGCGTGGACCAGAGCATAGAGCCCGTCCAGGACATTTTTTTTCAAGTTCTTTCTTTTTCATCCCTCCCTTTAAAGATGTACTTTTATAAGCAAACATTCTAAAGTCTGTCTATTATTTCTGGATAATGGCATGAAGTTGAGAATCATCCAGTCAGATTCTTAGTACTGTTTTGGAGATTATTATATCATTGTGATCAGCCGAACACGCTTGGTGTTGAACTTAAAACGTGAATCTCACAAAGTCACGTTCAGGTTTATTTCACTCCAAAATCAAAAGAGAATAAATTGTACTTTGCTTGTTTTAAAAATAATAATAAAAACATTTTAATGGTAATTAAGCACACTCCACTCCATGCAAATTCTCATTACCATAATCTTTTTTGTATTCTCATTCTCAATAGTGATTTTCATTACTGTAATACAGTATTTTAAAAGCAAATATATAATGCTTCAAATGATTGTAAAAAATACTTCAGAAATGTAAATTGTAATGAAAATTGTATTGTAGAGTAATGACAGTTTTGGGGGTGTCGTGCTTAATTGTCATGAAAATAATGCACAAAATCTGTTTAGACTTTATGTAAGCAAAATATAATTTCTTTTGATTTTGGACAGAAACATGTCTGTGAGATTCTTCCAAAACGTGTTATTATTAATCAAAAAGTGTTAAAAAAAAAATCTCTGCACCTGAAAGATTAAATCTCTCTTCTCTGCCATTTAATGTCTGGAATTAACAAGAAAATAGTCTATAATGTTGATATTTTTTTATACCGATGTCAGTGCAATTTGTGGTGAGGAGCTCTTAATGCGCCTTGCTCAAACACAAACACACACACACACACCACTGCCCTCCTGCTCAATGCCTGCACCAATTCTTGCTTTACCATGTGACTTATGCAACAAGATTCTTTTTGTAAAGATATGCTTTGTATTAAAAGGGTTACCCGGGGAATAGAATCTCACAAATGCATATTTTTTAAACTCAAATGGTGTTGATTATATATTATAAATGTATTTCAGTTGTAAAATACAAAAAAGAAAAGATGAAAACAGAAAACTATGAGAGAGTGTTGCTAGTGCACCTGTGTTGTAAATTTGTTCTTCGGTGTAGTGAAATTTATTAGTTTCTTCTTTTCTCCTAATTTCAATGGACAGAGAATTTAATGTCTCACATTTTACTTTCTAAATCAACAACCGCAAAGGCTGGACCATCTGTTTAGGTTTGGAGATTTTATTTTTTTTTTTTCCTGTTTGGAGGACAGGATTGACCGAGTGTATGCGCTCACAGACTCTGAGAACTTGGTTTTTTTTCGGGATCCACAAGGAACTTTTAAAGCAGACTTCCTGTTTGTGATATAATGTACATTTAAATGACTACCAGGTGACGACGGTCCTTTGGAATTTGTTACAGCTTGTGTTATGGACATTAAAATATATTAATTATTGAAAAACAATGAAAAAAAAATTACAAACCAGTTGTTTAGTCCGGTGCAGTGTCTATGAATAAATATAATTAATTCATTGTCCTATTAAAATACAGATAAAAAAAGACAATGGTGTTGTGATCATTTTATTAATCCTAATTAAGTTTCTTCTTTTCTCCTAATTTCAATGGACAGAGAATTTAATGTCTCACATTTTACTTTCTAAATCAACAACCGCAAAGGCTGGACCATCTGTTTAGGTTTGGAGATTTATTTTATTTTTTTTCCTGTTTGGAGGACAGGATTGACCGAGTGTATGCGCTCACAGACTCTGAGAACTTGGTTTTTTTTCGGGATCCACAAGGAACTTTTAAAGCAGACTTCCTGTTTGTGATATAATGTACATTTAAATGACTACCAGGTGACGACGGTCCTTTGGAATTTGTTACAGCTTGTGTTATGGACATTAAAATATATTAATTATTGAAAAACAATGAAAAAAAAATTACAAACCAGTTGTTTAGTCCGGTGCAGTGTCTATGAATAAATATAATTAATTCATTGTCCTATTAAAATACAGATAAAAAAAGACAATGGTGTTGTGATCATTTTATTAATCCTAATTAATTATTGAAACATGTTTCCACCTTTAAAATAAATAAATAATAAGGTCAAGTTCAAGGTCAAGGTCAAGTTTATTTATATAGCACCTTAAAAGCAACAAGTGCTGACCAAGGTGCTGCACAACCAAAACATCAGAAAAATCAACTAACAAAAGCATTAAGACAATATAAAATTTGAAATAATTAAATAATACAATAAGTAATGCAGAACATCACCAAACAAAGAAACAAACAGAAAAAATATATATATATATTTTCAAGTTAAGCAAAAGCCTGAGAAAAAATATATGTTTTAAAGAGATGATTTAAAAGAAGATAACGTAGGGGATAATCTGATGGATAAAGGCAAAGTGTTCCAGAGTGTAGGACCAAGAACTGAAAAAGCTCTGTTTTTTGATTCAACTCTAGGAAATTATTTTCCATCCAATTACTGATGTCTTCTAAAGAAGCCAGCAAGGAAGACACTGAATCAGAGGAAAATAAAGCTGAGTGTCATCTGCGTAAATGTGGTATGAAACTTTATGAGACTCAAATATAAAACGAAGAGGGAGCAAATACAGGGAGAATAAAATTGGACCCAAAATAGAGCCCTGGGGTACTCCACAAGTGATGGGAACTGAGCTTGATGAAAATTCACCAATTTCCACCGAAAAGCTCCTATTTGTGAGATACGATGCAAACCAGTCTAATGCAGTACCACAAATGCCAACCTCAAGATTTAATCTTTTTAACAGGATGCTGTGATCTACTGTATCGAAAGCTGCACTCAGGTCCAATAATAAGAGAATAGTACAGTTACCAGTGTCTGCAGATAACAAGAGATCATTTACTACTCTTAAAAGAGCTGAATAAGGAAATTATGACTTTATCTCCAAATTACAACTTTGTAAATTTGCAACTGCAAGAAATAGTCATAATAGCAAGAATAAAGTCACATTGTCCAATATAACGTTACGGCTGGATAAAGTTGCGGTTCAAGTTGTGGTGTTATATTTCACAATGTGACTCCATATCTTGAAATTATGGTTTTATTTTGCAATTATGTCACAGTGTGACTATTTTGAACTCACAATTACACTTATAATCTACACTTATACTTTAGATGGAAGCAGGCTTCCAGTCATTTTAAAGACCTCGTGAAACCCATTTATGTTGTGTCTGCTAGCTTTGTTAGCATTTATATGCTAGCATACTGCTGAAAATGTAAAATGTACAGTCTGTCTCTGTAAAATCTTGATTGCACATACAAATTTTAGCAGTAACTGTGTGGACATTTTTGAGCTAGGCTATCACACCACAAATTACCTATAGCAAGAATAAAGTCACATTGTCCAATATAACGTTACGGCTGGATAAAGTTGCGGTTCAAGTTGTGGTGTTATATTTCACAATGTGACTCCATATCTTGAAATTATGGTTTTATTTTGCAATTATGTCACAGTGTGACTATTTTGAACTCACAATTACCCTTTTCTACACTTATACTTTAGATGGAAGCAGGCTTCCAGTCATTTTAAAGACCTCGTGAAACCCATTTATGTTGTGTCTGCTAGCTTCGTTAGCATTTATATGCTAGCATACTGCTGAAAATGTAAAATGTACAGTCTGTCTCTGTAAAATCTTGATTGCACATACAAATTTTAGCAGTAACTGTGTGGACATTTTTGAGCTAGGCTATCACACCAAAAATTACCTAATAGTTAGGTTTAGGGGTTTTTTCAAAGTCCTTACCGTAAGTAGAAACAATAGTAATAGCAAGTCAGCAAGGCTTTACTCTCTTCCATTACCAGCTGGGCATCATTTTCTTCAGGGGCCTCTTTCCCATTTTTCAGATTTCACACATTTCTCAGGCGGCATGTTTAAAGGGACCGACTTTAATAGAGGCAACGGTCTCAACCTCTATAGGCACTTAGCAGGATTACGTTACACATGAGCGTCCTAAATGCGATGACCGCTCAGTTCCTCCTTTATACACAGGAATCGAGGGATGGGAGGGCCGGAAGGCAAGGGATTGCACCTATTTTTCGAACTTGTTCAGAACAAGCCAACTGCAGGGCTGTGGTGAACTCCCAGCAGGCGAGCGATAGTGCTACGCATTAGCATATTTCCCATCACGCCGAGGGTAATTGAGACGTTTGAAGTCGGTTGTAGGAAGAGACCGAATCTGAGAGACGCAGAAGGAGGGGGACCTCGCCGCACACAGGGGGATATTGTAGTTGGACTTCATACAAGCTGCAGCTGTCTTCTCCGCAGCTATTTTTGCGGAGAGGTGAAAGGTTAATGGTTTTATTTCCCCGTTGACTCATTTTACTGTACTCCACGAAAGGAAAGAGGGAGCGAGACTGTCTATATGATAGTACAGTCCGTGCGAAACACGCTGTACATCTGCACCCACGCTAAACAGCGAATGACACAAAGTCGACCGATCTCAATTGGTGTCTTTAGCTGGAAAGAGCCACGGTTTGCGAACACACAGCTAACGTGATATAAGACTAGCTTTACGCTATCTGTCAGTCTCTCTCTCACACAGGAGATGAATAGAGAGTGGGGGGTGTTAGCCACAAGAGAGGAAACAGTATGTCTTTTGTAAGCTTGTGTGACGGCAATCCTGTGTGCTCCTCTCTGATTCATAAATTAGATCCTCCACCGGCAATGAGTGGTGGGGGAAAGAGGAAGCTGACAGAAGCATTTCTAGCTCTCCACAAGCTATGTTTGAATTAGCATGCTGTAGCAAACTCTGTGAGTGAGTGGAATTCATTAGTTGGCTAAAGCTAACTTGCTAATGTTATTTTATTGAACGCCCAAAATGGTTTGCCAAGATGAATTCTGTCTTCGAGTGCAACTGGCAAACTCGTACCTCAGAGTCAGATGTTCGCTATTTTGACGTCCCGCATTCAATTTGGAAACATGACGAGGAAGTAAGTAGCCTAAACAAAAGAATTATATTGTGAGCATTAAACCCAGATAACTACATTGGAATTCAAAATAATTAAAAATAGAATTTTCATCACGCATGATATTCATTTATGCATGATATCACAACTAAAAGTTTTTGTTACAAAAAGCAAAGCTTGAAATTCAAGTGATTAACTTTAGACCATTTGCTACAGACTAGATTTTTGCTCACTGATCTCTCTATATATTGTATTTTCTATATTACAGATCAGTGTTTCAAATTGAGATTCAATATTGCAATCTACAATTTCGAGTTTCGCACGACTGTACTTGGTCATTCATGTGCTCGGAACTTGCAATTACTATATTTATGACTTGACTTTTCACTTTTCACTCATTCACTAATCAATTTCTAATGGATAAAATCAAGCCCCTCCCACATTATTTCTTATTGACTATGCTGTGTTATGTCCAATTATGGAAGTATGAGTCACGAATACTGTTCAATTTAAGACATTTATATTAAAAAAATTAATAATAAGGTACTGTGAAATAAATTCATGATGCTACTGCTTGAAATGTTTAGTGTTGCAATGATGCATTTCTATGAAGAATACAGTGCAATATACAGTATTCTAGTGGTCTATTCAAACATAGCTTGTGTCTTTTTCCATGTGTTTACTTCCTTCCTCTCTCAGTGCACTATCCATTGAGATGTTTTATTCATTGCTTTACATCTGTTAAAATTCATGAAGCAGGCCAGAGCTAAATCCCTTCGCTTTCCCTCAGCCAAGGATGTCTCCCATCAAGTCCAGAGCGGGGCCAAAAATTCCACCCGTGTTTCCACCCAGTAGCACTTAAGTGTGACACCTCTGGAATGCTCACACTTACAAAAAGAGCGCTCTGCAGAAAATCAGCTTGATTCAGAGGAAGTGACTGCGCGGTAAGAAAACCAGTCTCCACTGCATGCCTCAGTTGTTTGAAATGCAGCGTTATGGTTGTTGCTGGGCATGAAATTGGTGAATTATCTGTCAGATACATGTTAGTGAAATATGCTGGACCTTGCAGTGTTATGACAAATGTTTGGCTACTCATAAGGAATTTTAGGCCTTTAAAATGTAACAGTTTTTTGAGTTAGCACAATAGAATGGTTGTTTGGAAACGTTACGAAACATGAAATCATAATTGACTATTTTTACTTTCCTAATGCACGTGTTAAGTCATATTGTGAGTGATTCATCAGTGCACATTATTCCAAAGGGAAAAAATAAAAATCTAAAAAAAATATTTAAATTGCCCGTTATAAGAAAAAAAAAACATTTAAAGGGGTCATATGATGCTGCTAAAAAGAACAGTATTTTGTGTATTTGGTGTAATGAAATGTGTTTGCGGTTTAAGGTTCAAAAAACACATTATTTTCCACATACTGTACATTCTGTACATTCCTCTATGCCCCGCCTTTCTGAAACGCGTCGATTTTTACAAACCTCATTGGTCTGAAAAGCGAGGTATGCTCTGATTGGCCAGCTATCCAGAGCGTTGTGATTGACCGAATACCTCAAGCGTGTGACGGAAATGTTACATCCCTTACCATATTGTGATGCCTGCGGCAACCACATGTGACGACCCCGGGCTGGACTCCGCTTCGTCCACGGTGAAAGCCGATCCGGTGATCCACAGCGCAAAGTTGTAGTATTTCCTCAGCGTGTGTGTGTGTGTATACACAGTATTTTTCCTGTCCTTTATGACTGTCAGATTTCAAAATATGAACCGGTTGAGAAAAGCCAACGCAAGCTGGTTTTGTTTTGCATGTCACACTGTATATCTTAGACAAAATTGTCATGAATGCTCATTTAAATGAATATGAATGTTCAAACAAACATTTAAATAGTACCACACAAACTTTTGCGCTAGTAAAGAAAACAAGTCGGAGTGTTTGAAGTCTGTCGTAGCTTGGTGAAAGAAGGAATTAGTGAATTTTTCTGAACGAACTTGAGGTAAATTGTGATCATAGTGTGAAGCGAATGTTAAAAGATTGCCAATTTTGGACTACGGTAAAAGAAAACTCTTACAATTCTTGTCTCGCATGGCAAAATAGTGACTAAAATTACCAGGTTTGCAACTATGTCAGTGTAAGTGGTGACGGGCCATTTCACTGAGAGGAAGAAAGATTTAAGCAAAAACGGTTCATTCTAGAAACCTCCCTCTGGAGAATTCAAGTCCGTAGAGACAGAGGCAATGGCTTTATTTAGGAAGAACCCAGTAAATCCACTTCATCTTCTATGTGATGACCACAAAAAGCCACTTTATCCACAGGTATATAAAGTTTTCTATAAAACTATTCACACCACCTAAATCTTGTTATCCAGGCACACAGGTGTGAAGCGAATGTTAAAAGATTGCCAATTTTGAACTACGATAAAAGAAAACTCTTACAATTCTTGTCTCGCATGGCAAAATAGTGACTAAAATTACCAGGTTTTCAACTATGTCAGTGTAAGTGGTGACGGGCCATTTCACTGAGAGGAAGAAAGATTTAAGCAAAAACGGTTCATTCTAGAAACCTCCCTCTGGAGAATTCAAGTCCGTAGAGACAGAGGCAATGGCTTTATTTAGGAAGAACCCAGTAAATCCACTTCATCTTCTATGTGATGACCACAAAAAGCCACTTTATCCACAGGTATATAAAGTTTTCTATAAAACTATTCACACCACCTAAATCTTGTTATCCAGGCACACAGAACTACTTCACATTCCACAAGGTCCATTTTCTGGTCCAGTTCACTGCCGTCCAATCCATTCAGTGTCATTTTTAGTGTCTCCGCAGTGTTGAAGTAGCCGATGGGTCACCATGAAGTCACTGCTAGGAAAGTTGCTCCATCTCAAACTGGGTGTGTCCATTAGCAGGCGTGTTGGCCCAGGCCTCAGGCGCTCGTGGATGTGAGTGGCTGGGCTTCTGAGCGTCTTCTGCGGGGCTGTGCGTTTGGATTAAAGCATCCGGGGATGCTGGGTCAGGTGGTTTGTGGTCGTAATAGAGGGCCCATAGGAGTGTCACAGTCAACGTCATGGCTAAGATCTGAGCCACGCCGATCGACACGCCCAAGAACCTCAACACCTGCAGCTGCTTAGTGCCCCTGATAAAACTGTAGATCTTGGGTCCACAACCCTGTTGAAAACAAATTTAGTATATGAAGTTATGTCAACCCTAGTTAATTTCTTAATGCACGTTTCTAGGTTGAATAATTCTAACAAACTAAAGGGTGGAAAATATGGTGTCATTGATTACTTTTGTCTCTCTTATTTGTGGCACATTTTTCTAAAGTTTTTATTTTTTGTTTAAATTAATATTTATTTATTTATTTTAAAATTTTACTTTTTAATTACTATTTTTTAAGCTTTTAAATTAATTTTTATTTATTTTACTATTTTTTATTTAATTTTATATGTGTTCTTTAATTATCTTCATATCTTGGCCAGAGCACTCTTGAAAAATCAGTTTTCATTGTTTCTTTATTGGTTTAATGAATCTCTAATAATGCTATTCCAAAGGGGAAAAAACTCTTATTTTGAAACTTCTTTTCTCCTGATATCAGGCCTTGCTAGTTTTAGATACTGGTACCAGTAGTGGCTATTTAGGCACTGTTTTAGCAAATTAGCATTAGCTATATTATTAGTCTAGCCACATTATGGCGCATAATAACTTCTTTTCACCATTCAATCAATTCCCAATGGATAAAATTTCTCAGTTTCAGTCAGAAATTATTCAGATTAATTCATTTAGACTGATGTTAATAAGTTAGGCCAGTCAAACAATGCAGAAAGCGCAAAAAGCTCAACCTTTAACCTTCTAATGTCTCACTATAGTCGTCTTTTCACATTAAACTGATATATAAGAAAGTATTTTAACAGAAAAAAAAAACACTTCCGCTTTAACAGGTTGTTTTCATGTAACTCTCCCCTACTGCCAGCGCAACAGCTGCCATGTTAATATGCGAGCGATGCGACACATTCATCCTCTCGCGTGCGTGCCTGTGTGTTTGGGGTATTTCCTATGCTGAATTGTGGAAGGGCAGGTAAAATATTTCCTGTTAGTGAGGGATTTATACTGTGGAGTAATTCCCCTGTCATCCACTCAGAGAGAGAGAGACAAAGACAAAGAGACAGGAAGTGGGTGAGGATCAGTCTCCACAGCCTCAGTCCTTCACTCCTGACTCTCCCTCTAGTGATCAATGTTCCTGTATTATTCAACAAAGCCCTGCTTTCACTCTTCTGCAGTGGGATCTGTCTGAATAGCTGAGCTCTGCTGGCTGCTTTACTACAAACACACTGTGTTTATTATGTTTACACTATTATGGATAAAAAAAAAATTAGCCTCTTTTTCTGAGGCCTGAACAAAGGCAGCAGATATGCATGTATATCAGGGTTGGGCTATCTATCTATCTATCTGTCTATCTATCTATCTATCTATCTATCGTTCTGTGTATCATTTATTTCCTGTTAGTGAGGGATTTATACTGTGGAGTAATTCCCCTGTCATCCACTCAGAGAGAGAGAGACAAAGACAAAGAGACAGGAAGTGGGTGAGGATCAGTCTCCACAGCCTCAGTCCTTCACTCCTGACTCTCCCTCTAGTGATCAATGTTCCTGTATTATTCAACAAAGCCCTGCTTTCACTCTTCTGCAGTGGGATCTGTCTGAATAGCTGAGCTCTGCTGGCTGCTTTACTACAAACACACTGTGTTTATTATGTTTACACTATTATGGATAAAAAAAATTTTGCCTCTTTTTCTGAGGCCTGAACAAAGGCAGCAGATATGCATGTATAACAGGGTTGGGCTATCTATCTATCTATCTATCTATCTATCGTTCTGTGTATCATTGTGTTGTTCTATCTATCTATTTATCTATCCTATCTATATATCGTTCTATCGTTCTGTGTATCATTTTGTTGTTCTATCTATCTATCTATCTATCTATCTATCGTTCTATCGTTCTGTGTATCATTCTGTTGTTCTATCTATCTACCTACCTATCTGTCTATCTATCTATCTATCTATCGTTCTATCGTTCTGTGTATCATTCTGTTGTTCTATCTATCTATCTATCTATCTATCGTTCTGTGTATCATTTTGTTGTTCTATCTATCTATCTATCTATCTATCTATCTATCGTTCTATCGTTCTGTGTATCATTCTGTTGTTCTATCTATCTATCTATCTATCTATCTATCTATCTATCTATCTATCTATCTATCGTTCTGTGTATCATTCTGTTGTTCTATCTATCTATCTAACTATCTATCTATCTATACTCATTTTATCTTAGAAACCTCCAAACTTCAAAACTTTTTAAACATTTTTCAAACCCTTCAAAGACTGAAGTATAGTGTGGCAGACGAGTCACAGACACGAAGAGCAGGGGGTTGGATGAGACACTGTGTTGGGTTTGTCCTAGACAGTGTGTTTTGGTACTCAACACACAGGTGTGTCTCTGCGCTACGTGACTGACTTTAATTGCACTGCTGGAGTCGCTCAACACTCACTGGCAATACAGCTTGATTAAACACGCTCCGCAGGTGAGTGAATCTCTCCACTGTCTGGCCTCATTTTTACAAAGTCAACTGCAAAGTCATGTTTTAATTAGGGCTGTCAATCAATTCAAATTTTAATCAAATTAATTACATGCTATTCCACACATATCAATATTTGCGGAGAAAAGCTCCCAAAATGAAGATGACATTTTTGTGACAGATGAGTAAATCAATGAATAGACACTGCAAGAAATGGCTTAAATGGCTTGTGGTCCACCACAATTCATTTCGCAAGTTTATCTATCTGTCCAGGTTAAACTTGACAATGTTTTTGATTGTTTGTGTGTATACATATGCAGACGAGCATCTTTGGCTGTTGCAGCATGACTTTCACGAGACACCATTGGACCACAAAAGAAGACCTTTCATGTGAGTACATTTATGACTTTCATTATTGTTATGCCCTTCACATGTAGAAATCAGATCATCTTCACTTCAACATTTAACCATCTTGCCACAAGTCTAAACAAATGTTGGACTGATCAAATCAGCCGGTATATATCAATTAAACAGATACATTTACTCATTATGAGAGGTTTTGTAAACTTAATTATTCTAATAATAATAATAAACAACAAAATCATCATCCCTATCTGGCCTAGAGGAATAATACAAAAATCTTGGGGGTTACAACATCCAAATAAGCTCACCTCCTGGTAAAGGTCACTGAGGTCATGGTAGTGGGCATGGCGGGCACATCCTGGATACTGATTGGAGCAGCAGGAGTCAGGTGGCCACTCCATCTCTGTCATTTCCAGCCAGTCAGTGAAGTAGATCACTCCACAACACTTCAACTGTAAGGCAGGTATGAAAATTCAGCCTGGTTTCATTGGTTATATGTAGGCCTTAATACGTAACATTTACAAGCACAAAGCTTACATTTTTGTACGTTTTTATTGATGCTGAAACTTATAATTTAGACCTATTTCAATGTTTAAAACTTCGTTGCGTATTTTTAGGTAAAAAAAAACAAAATATTTACGTGTCTTTTATATAATTAAGATATTCATATCATTGCATTTTTAGCATTTTATCAATAAGCGATTTAGATTTTTAGACCCCTTAACCTACCCATTTTATAGCGAATATGCATTTTTATCATTTTACCGATAAGTGATTTAGATTTTTAGAACCCTTAACCTACCCCCAAACCTAAACCTAGCCATTTTATAGCGATAGAACCACATTTTACATAAAATACATACGAATTACCATGAGATCACGTTGTAAAATTAGTCATTGACAGTGATGTTTTCATAATATTTGCATTCTGAATTGCAATTGGCAATTGGTTCAAAATCCTACTTCACATAACTGTATATTAACATTACCATTTATACATTAAGCAAACACTTTTATCTGCAGCAATTAACAAACAAAAGCAATTTGTCAAAGAACCAACAATATTCATAATATACAGTGGCGGGATTATTAGACAACTAGGCCAAGAAGAAAGCTATAGAAGAAATGCAAAAAATAAAAGGATTAGTCTTTTTCAAGATCAGATGTTTCACACTGACTAAATGGCTTTGTTAAGCATTTTCACTTTCAGTGACAACACTAGAATTACTTAACACCATCAAATGTTGCATTGCGGCTGGTTAGGTGTTAGACGAGTTGCTATCCTGCTGATGATTTTGACCTCTCACCTCTGTTTGTATAGAGTTCCAGGCATGTGTGAGCCACTGGTAGCGCTGCAGGCCGAAATGAGGCATACGTGACTTCAGACTTATCATATCAGACCTCTGTACCATAGGCTGAAGAGAGAAAGAGAGGGGGAGTTATGGAGAAATATTCATAAAGGAATCATTTCACAATTTTAAAAGCCTTGTAACTGTCCCCATAAAATCAATTCCCCACACGCTCAGTAATTATGTTTTCTAAATAACAAAAACAATGTGATTTCCAGGCAGTTTAAAGGACCATCCACACGCCCACACTTCCAATTTCAGGCTCTCTTATGACCAGTTTATTGGCTAGTTATGAAATGCCCTAATCACAAGTGTGTGTGCAAGTGTTATTTATATACTAGTTGGCATTTTACAGTTCAGTCCCCATGAGACACTTCTGTTTTCACACCTCGGAAACCATCGTGAGGGGCATATGATAAGTACCCATGATGCCCAGGGCTAGATGTGTCATCTCAGCAGAACTGGCTAAAGCTTGTTGTCAGTTTAAAGTCAACATGAAATTACAATCGACTAATATACTTTATTAATACATATTTCTGGCCTTATTGTGAGTAATTCATGACTGCATGTTATTCTAAAGAAAAATGAAACCATTAAACCATAATAACATGCTAAACCTCCAAAATGACTTTCCTTTTTGGCTAATGTAATCTAGGCCTTTTTTCATACATAAACTGTAAAGAAATAAAAATATATAATGAATAATAATAAATTATCAATTTTATAACATTAAGTTTTGAGATTTTTCTCATTATTATGATATACTGTATTAAGTCATTTTAAAAGTAATTTTCTCTTGACTGCATGAATGTTATACAGTAGAACATGCATATATTACATTAGATTTATCTTTCTATATTAAAAACAGATTTTGTATGGTGATTGTGATGGAAGCGATCTACATGTATGCTTTGATCATCGTACTGAATATGATTCAGATGTAGTATTTGATAAAAAGCTTTTTGCGCATTTTTTACGAAACTTACCTACATTCAAGTGTTGATAAAAAAAGAAAGCTTGAAGCTAGAATAAAACAGATTTTTTTTTTTAAGTAGAGGCTCGGATCTTTATTTTGAAGTATTGCATGTTCAGATATTCATACAACAAAATATTCTGGGGTCCATTAAATTTTAGTGAAAATCGTCAAAAATGCTAGCGGTGGCTGGCACTTTTTTTTAAAACACTGACAGGGAAAGAGTTAATCGATCATGTATGTAAGCAAATGCATATGAAAAATAATGCGATCATCATCTACATAACAGCATATAATAGAAAATGTTACCGAGTGAAATGTCGATCCAAGAAGTAGTAAAGGACTGTGCAAGCTTTGGGGGGTGCTGATGGAAGCTATCTACTGCATCTTTGCTTTGATCATCGTACTGAATATGATTCAGATGTAGTATTTGATAAAAAGCTTTTTGCGCATTTTTTTACGAAACTTACCTACATTCAAGTGTTGATAAAAAAAGAAAGCTTGAAGCTAGAATAAAACAGATTTTTTTTTTTAAGTAGAGGCTCGGATCTTTATTTTGAAGTATTGCATGTTCAGATATTCATACAACAAAATATTCTGGGGTCCATTAAATTTTAGTGAAAATCGTCAAAAATGCTAGCGGTGGCTGGCACTTTTTTTTGTTGTTGTTGCAAAAACGCTGGCAGGGAAAGAGTTAAAAACGACACATTTCGGAAATAAGATGGGTTGCGAATGTCATTTCATGTTGACTTTAAGCCAAGGAAAGTTGAAGTGGATACACTGTTGATACAACTGCTAACATGTAACCAGGCCAGGTGCGGCGGAGTAAACCAACTCATTGCCCACCCGCTCACCCCGCTCACCCAGTCACATTAGGCCACAACAACACAATAGGACCATCACACCCAACAAAGGTTTTTAGGTTGTTTAGGTTGTCGCGTCTTCACGCAGTAGTTGT